CTAGAAACATCGATGAGAGAGAATCATCGATCAGCTGCCTCTTGCACACCCCTTACCGGGGATGTGCCCACAACCAAGGTACATGCCCTTGACCGGAATTGAACCTGGGACCTTTCAGTCTGCAGGCCGACGCTCTATCCACTGAGCCAAGCCGGTTTCGGCTAGAGGAGCATTTAAAGTAGGCCATGAGCCGAAACCGGTTTGGCTCAGAGCGTCGGTCTGCGGACTGAAAGGTTCCAGGTTCGATTCCGGTCAAGGGCATGTATGTTGGTTTCGGGCTGTGCAAGAGGCAGCTGGTCGATGTTTCTCTCTCATCAACGTTTCTAGCTCTCATCTCTCCCTTCCTCTCTGTGAAAAATGCAATAAAATATATTTTTTTAAAAATAAAAATAAATTTAAAAAATAAAGTAGGCTGTGAACTAGGGTAAGGTTTTTAACAGACATTCACAGGGCGGGGCAGGCAGTTCAAGGTTCGAGAACAGTCTGAGTAAAACTACAGGAGAGAGACGAACGCCGACGTGGAGAATATATTATAGTTCACGGTACATTTTCACTGAAGCGTCAGATCAGGATAGATGGATGGAGGCAGGGACGGAGCAGAAGACACGCTTGAAAATTAGGTCAGGGAGCAAATCAGAAAGCACTTTAAATGACATAGTAAAGAGGAAAGGCTTTATTTCTAGGCAGTGGCGAGCCCCAAGGGCTGAAAGAATGATATCACCGGAGCTATTATTTAGGCAATTTAATTTGGAGCCGGTGTAAAAGGAACCACTTATGTAAGTGTTCAAGCCACGGGCCCTCGCTCTGTGCCAGGCACAGTGCCCGGAGCTGGGGATGCAGCAGTGGCTTAAGCAGCTGTCTCTGCCCTGAAGAGTGTCCAGTCCGGCAGAATCGGTTAGGAGGAGAGACGGAGGCCGGAACCTGGGAGAGCAGCTGGGAAGCACATCTGGTCAGATCCACCTTCAGAATAGATCACCTCTCCACTGTCACCGCACACATGGCATCCCTCTCCTCCACCTCCCTCTCAGCTATCAGTTTTCACTTGGACTGTTCGAGAGGCCTCCTAACAGAACCCCCGTCCCACCCTTGCCTGTCCTGTGCCAGCACACAGCACTGTTCCCAGCCCTCCAATGGCTGCCCTCCATGCTGAGAGGCAAACCGGAGTCTGTGTCAGGGTCTACCAGCCTCAGGACAGGACCCCTGACTGCTTCTCTCACCTCTTCCCCTTCTGCTGCCCCCTAACTGCCCGTTCCAGCAACGCTGGCCTCCTTGCTAGTCCCTGAACACACCATACACCGTGGTATCACTGAGCTGTTCCAGCTGCTGGGATGTTCTTCCTCGAGTTTTCTAGATGGCCTGCTCCATGCCTTCATTCTGGGAAAGGTTTTCCCAGACCACTTCGTACGAAAAGCCCCTCACCCTGCTTTATTATTCTTTAAAGAAATCCTCGGGCATGTTACATATTTGTTTATTTTCTGGACCCTTCACTGGAATAGTCATTTAGTAAAATGTAGATATTTTATCCACTGATATATCCCCACAGCCCATCCCAATGTCTACCTGAGTAAGTGCTCAATAACTACTGTGGAAGGAAGGAAGGAAGGAAGGAAGGAAGGAAGGAAGGAAGGAAGGAAGGAAGGAAGGAAGGAAGAAAGGAAGGAAGGAAGGAAGGAAGGAAGGAAGGAAAGAAGGAAGAAAGGAAGGAAAGAAGGAAGAAAGGAAGGAAAGAAGGAAGGAAGGAAGGAAACTATTGAAAAAGCCCAATGAAACTCAAAGTAGAGCAGAACAAATGAAAAGACAAAGAATTCAAGAGATGCCAAAGGGTCCCATGCTGCCTGCCCTTTCCCGGGGAACTAAGCTGGGTAGAAGGGTGGGGTGGGGGCTGTGAGAGGTGTTTTTAAGCCTCATTTGCTTATAGAGGAAACTGCAGAAGACAACCGGCTTTCTCAGACTTTTCCAATGAGGTCTCCCTCCCTCTGTCACCTCATGGGTCTCTGGGTCTTTTTCATTCCCCCCTCCCCAACTGAGTCCTGGCCGTGTTGAGAAGAGAGAGAGAGAGAGAGAGAGAGAGAGAGAGAGAGAGAGAGAGAGAGAGAGAGAAAGACTCTACTCAAGGAGCTTAAACCTAGGGTAGGAAGGCAGATAAATTGGATCATTTTCCTAAAATGGAATTTAAGTGCTACACAGAGAAAGGACTTTTAATCGGGGGGGGGGGGGGGGGGGGCAATAGATAGATAAAGAAATATTCCCAGCCGAAACCGGTTTGGCTCAGTGGATAGAGATTCGGTCTGCGGACTGAGGGGTCCCAGGTTTGATTCCAGTCAAGGGCATGTACATTGGTTTCGGGCACAACCCCAGTAGGGGCTGTGCAGGAGGCGGCTGGTCGATGTTTCTCTCTCATCGACGTTTCTGGCTCTCTATCCCTCTCCCTTCCTCTCTGTGGAAAATCAATAAAATATATTTTAAAAATATATATATATTCCCAGAGGAGGTGACACTTGCAAGTAAGAATTAGCCAAGCCAAGAACTGGAAAGGCATTCTAGGTGAGGGTAACCATATCAACAAAGGCCAAGAGTCATGTGACCATATATAAACCAGAGACTCACAGACTTTCACTATTATAAGAGCATCAAGTGTGAGCTAAAGGCTTTCACAGGGTTCCTTTTAGGGGCAGCAGGAACAGGATTGGGAGTTTCACCCGGAAAACATATACTTGGCCCCCATTAGTGTTCCCTTGCCTTGACAATTCCTCCCCCTACCCGTGGGGCCGGCTGTTCCAACAATTGCCCAGTGCACAGAGACAGGGCGAGAGGGGTACCCCAGGAGAGGAAAGATGAGAGGACTCCGCTGCTCTGGGGAGAGGAAGTACTGACCCTCCTTCCCCATTAACCCATCTCCAGCTGCCACCCAAGGGGAAGCTTCGGAGCCTGTGCAGCCAGCACGTGGAAAAGCTGCAGACCTTCCAGCACCTGCACCCCATCGTGGTCCAAGCTGCTTTCCCCCCACTCTACAAGGAACTCTTCAGCACTGACATCGAGGCCCCCGAGGGGCTGTCCGAGTGACTGGGGAAGGACGCCTGTCTCCAACCTGCTGGACCACCTCCCTGGACCCCTCCCTCCCTCCTCGGCCTTTTCCTTTCCCGTGACCCTGGAGGGTGCCCTTACCTGTTCTTTGGGACTGAGCAAATGCTGAGCCCGGTTTTCTGCCCGCAGGCCCGCCTGGCCAGTGGGCCGAGATCCAGAGGGCGGGCGAGAGGAACAAGGTCTCCAGCCTCAGCTTTGCTTGACCCTCTCTCCCATGCCCCTCACCCCAGCTTCTGGAACAGGGGGGCGGGGTGGGGTGGGGAATAGTAGGACCTCTAGGAGGACCAGGGTGTCCTCGGGACAACAGGGGGGATCCAGGACAGCCTGGACAGATGGAACTCAGCCCTGGGCTCAGAAGCTGAGAACAAACCGTTGAAATACCTCATTGCATTTTCCCGTGGGCTTCAAGCTGAGACTGGCGGCTGGAGCCCAGAAGGACCTGTACAGAACCTGAACGGACCGTTAGAGTCTCTGCCTTCCCCCTTCCTCCCAGCTCAGCAAGGACATGGCCGGGCGCCCCGCCCTTCTCCTGGGGTCTAAAAAAGAAACAAGTCTGCATATATGGAGGGAGGGGGCTGGGGATGGTTTTTTATGGGATTTGGGTCTAGGCTAGGGTACAAGGAGAGCCAAGAGCATCACGGACAGAGAGGGGCTTAGACTTCAAACTTCCCTCACGTGCACTTTAAAAACAGACGTCCGAGGTTAGCACACATCTGATCCGACACGCGTCCGCGCACAGGTGAGACACACATGCACCCGGCCCGCCATTGTGCGGTTCTGCAGACAAACCATTGGATCTCACACCATCTCCGTCTTCCTCGAGGTCACCGAGGAGCTTCGTGGCCTCGGGAAGAGCACCAATCCTGAGGGACCCAGAGCATTCCCATGGTGCCCCACCCACCAGCCTTAGACCCGGGGGTGCTCCAAACCCTATCCCAGCCCAAGAGAAGCGGAGCTGGCCGGCCACTGGCCAGTCCGAAGGCCAAGGACGGCCTCCGGGAGCACCGTGTGGGCCCTGCTCTCCTCAGGGAGGGAGGAAGTGGGCACAGTTGCAATCCGGCCACTTAGGGGTTGGGAACCACCGACTCCAGCAGGGGGAGGAGGCCCCGCTCCAGCCCAGGCTTTATAAGGAGCTGCTGGCCCTCTGCTGAGGGGTTCACAACAGAGGGAGGGGGTCTGCCTGACAGGAGAGGGGCTCATTGGGTAAATGTAAACACCCCAATGTGTGCCATTCTTTATAAAATGAGTTCAAAGGCCAGAGGTGTGTGTGTGTGTGTGTGTGTGTGTGTGTGTGTGTCTTCCATCAGATCATCGACACGCTGCTCTGCAGTCTGGTTCCTGGGTGGGGTCCCAGGTCTCCGGCCCAGCCAGCCATCTGCGCTGTGAGGATTCAGCCCCCACCCCCATCGTCCCTCCCCAAGAGCGGGTCCCCGGGGAACCCCCCAGCAAGGAGCCTCAGACTCAGCTCAACGGGGGATGTTCCAGGCTGAGGACTTTCCCCACAAATGACACCCACGGGGGACATTGCCAGGGAGAACCGCCCTGCCTCTGGGAAGACAGCCCTAAGGAGGGGGCTTGGCCCTGGAGCTCCCGGGAGGGGAGGGGCATCGGGACGTGGGAGAGACCCTTTGGCGCTGCCCTGCTGCCTGCAGATCCGCCCCTGCACCCCCGCGCCCTTCCTCCCTCCCCCCTCCGCCCCCCAGCAGTGGCGCTTGCTGCAGCCCTCCCTGGCTGCTTTATTTATTTATTTTGCACCAACGGGGTTGCTGCAGACTCATGCTCGCCTGGTTTGAAAAGAGAGAGAGAGGAAAAAAAAAAAAAAAAGAGGAGAAATGCTTTCTGGTTCTTTTTTCTGCCTCAGTCTTGGCAGCAGTGGCTGCAGCAGCAACAGCAGCAGCGGCGGCGGGGCCGGTGGGTGGGTGACTGGCCGGCGGGTGGGCAGGCAGGTGGGGGGCAGTGGGTGTGAGCACAAGGGGAGCTCGCATGGGACGAACCCCCAGCCCGGGGCGGATGCGGTGCCCAACTTGATGCGGCCCTCCAGCCACTCCGGTAAGTGCCCCCACCTCCTGTCCCGGGCTGCAGTGCCCTCCTCCATAGCGTTCCTTCCTTCCCGAGAGAGGGCCAGACCCCTGCCGGTCAAGGCCACAGGGTTTGCAGCCCCACCCCCATCCCACCCCCCAGGCGACCATTGATCCTGGCCCCGAAGGACTTTTGTGGGAAAACTAAGATGTCCCAAGTGGGGGCAAGGACTCCAAGGAGACCTCCGTTCGGCTCCCCAGGGCTTGTGCTCTCTCTCTCTCTCTCTCTCTCTCTGAGAAGGGTCTTCCCACCCAGCGGGCAGTGAGGATATCCCGAAAATCTTTCCTGTAGGAGTCCCCTCCCCACGCAGGTCCCCATGCCTCAGTGAGGTCCCCATGAGCGAAAGAGGCTCTCCAGGCACCAGTGTGTTCCGGACGGCCACGGGGGGACAAGAAGGCACCCCACTCCCGGAGTGGACGGCGCCCCAGACCCCAGCCCATTTAAGGAGAGAGGAGAGTGGTTCTGACACCGACTTCTCCCTGCAAAGTGGCCGGAAGCCAGTCCCGTAGCCATGGAAATGGGCAGGGGAAGTCCGTGATTAAATTAGACACCTTATAAATAAAGAAAATGGACTGGCCCCAGGTCCCGCAGCCCTGGGCTCAGGCGGCTTTGGGGAGGAAGAGGGAACAGGCGGCGGAGCGAAGGAGCGAAGGAGGGAAGGAGGGAAGGAGGGAAGGAGGGAAGGAGGGAAGGAAGGAGGGAAGCTGGGCTGCACGCTTCACTGCACTTTTGCTGAGTGCAGAGCAAGAGGGATGAGCAGGAACTGCAGCGGCTTGGTGACAAAGTGCCGGATGCCCGGTGGACTTCCCAGGACAGGCACAGGGAGAATGAGAAAGGCTGGCACATCTCAGCAGTGCCACCGATACCTGTGGGGTTGGCAGAGGGGCAGAGAGGAGACTGGTCAGCGGCCCTTGCCCGCCCCGTGCCCTCCCCATGCCATTCTTTCTCAAGCTCAAGCCTCGGAGGAGTGTCCTACATCCCTCTCCCGTTTGGGCCTCTTTCTCCAGCTTTCCAATTCCTGCACGCCTGAAGTAGCTACAGGATGGCCACCACGACCACCCTTCGAGGGGGGAGTGTCGAGTGGGAAGGACAGGAGAAGGAGCCATACCACCTCTTACTATCGGTCACCTGCCTCTCCCGAGTCCCGCGAGGGAGAAAGGGAGGCGTGTAGGAGCAAGCTGACCCTGTGAGGGCCGGAAAGCCTGAAGCCTGGCAGCCCGGAGGGGGCCAGGACCCACAGCCAGAAAGAAACCCGGGCATCCTGCCTCCGTCTGGCCATCCCTTGCCAATCCCAAGCCCTCCCCTCCCTGGGGGTCCCCCGTCGGCATTGCACGGGTGTCAGGGACTCTCGTCGCCTCCTTCTCCTCCGTCACCTCAGTCGGTGCCCAGTGGCCGCTGTCATCACAGCCTTCCTGGCCTGTCCACACCCCTGGCACCCAGAAACCCACTTTAAGGGTTGTGCACGCAAAGGGGCAGAGAGGAGAGTCTGTGCCCAGAGGTCTGCTGTGCCTGCCAAGGGCTGCCTTGCTCCCCACCCACCTGTCTGAGCAGGCGCTGTCCTCCCCGTACTTTTCTCTGCCTCCCTGGCTCCCAATCTGTCCCTTGTGGATTGCTCAGGCAGCTGAAGCCAAAAGGGACAAGCGACTTCCCTCAGATTCACACACTGGACTCGAATCAAAGCGCCATGAAGAAGGGGCCTAAGAGAACCTTAAGTCTGAGGGCCAAGCCACAAAACTCCCAACGTGGGCATCTCTAGGGTCCCTCACATCCCCTAACTTCCTCTTTCGGGAAGGCGGAGTTGTCCTTGGGGTTCTCATGAGGGGTTCCAGTGGGCGCTGTGTCCTGTGCCACCGCTAATGTGCCACTTGGCTGTGGTCCACACGGCCTTCTGGGAAGAGTGGATCTCGCCGGTCCAGGGCCTCAGGCTCTGCGCCAGCTTAAAGGAGGGCAGAGAGGCAGTCAGCGGAGGCTGGGGGGCTGCGGCTCACCCAGTTCCCAGCTTTGGGCAACGGGCTCACGGTAAGGCCTCTCTCCAACCGGGAATCAAAGCTATGTGATCCCCCTGAGCCTTCAACAAAGCTACAGGCAGATACTATGGGAGGAGAGCGTGGAAAGGGAGGGACAGAGCAGAGCTTGGGAAGAGCAGATAAGAGACCTGAAGTGGTTCTGGAACTCACAGGTACAGAGAAAAACCCCAAAGCCCGTGACTGGGAGACTCAAAGGTGCCTCCTGCTATTTCCTAGCCCAGTCCAGTCCCATAAAACTTCCCCCAAAGAAAGCAGTTTTTAAAAATATATATATATTTTAATTCATTTCATAGAAGACAAGAGAGGAAGAGAGAGAGAGAAACAACAATGATGAGATGGAGCATGCAACTGAGGCATGTGCCCTGACAGGGAATCAAACCGTGAGGTTCATAGGTTGGTGCTCAGCCACAGATCCACACCAACTGGGCCAGGATTCAGTCTTGACTAGGGTTCCACTTGGCCTGCAGGCAACCAGGGCTGGGAGGAAGGGGATGACGAGCTTCCCCAAAGAGGAGCCCCCAGGAGGCACACACCAGAATTCCTCCCGATTGGTGCCCACTTCCCAGCAGTTCTGAGGTGCTGGCTCTCTCTCTCTCTCTCCCTCCCCTTCCCCCGACCCTCCTTCTCTCTCTCTCTCTCTCCCCTAAGAAGGTCCAGGGAAGCCCAGGGTCACCATCATCTGAAGCCACTTTCCCAAAAGGGCCATGTCATCATCTGTTCCAGGACTGAAGAGGGGATGGCCGCAGCCGCAGTAGCTCCGAAGCAGGCCTGGCCCCCGTGGCCGTGGCCGCCTCTCCTGCTCTTGCTCCTCCTGCCCGCAGGGAGCGGCGGCGGCTGCCCTGCCGTGTGTGACTGCACCTCCCAGCCACGGGCAGTGCTCTGCGCCCACCGGCGGCTGGAGGCCGTGCCCGGGGGCCTCCCCCTGGACACTGAGCTCCTGGACCTGAGCGGGAACCGTCTGTGGGGGCTGCAGCAGGGGATGCTGTCTCGCCTGGGCCTGCTCCGGGAGCTGGACCTCAGCTACAACCAGCTGTCCAGCCTGGAGCCCGGGGCCTTCCAGGGCCTGCAGAGCCTGCTCACCCTGCGACTGCAGGGCAATCGGCTGCGAATCATGGGGCCCGGGGTCTTCTCGGGCCTGCCCGCCCTCACCGTGCTGGACCTCCGCCTCAACCAGATCGTCCTCTTCCTGGACGGAGCGTTTGGGGACCTGGGCAGCCTCCAGCAGCTGGACGTGGGCGACAACCACCTGGTGTTTGTGGCTCCGGGGGCCTTCGCGGGGCTGGCCAAGCTGAGCGCCCTCACCCTGGAGCGCTGCAACCTCAGCACGGTGCCCGGCCCGGCCCTGGCCCGGCTCCCCGAGCTGGTGTCCCTGCGGCTCCGAGAACTGGACATCGGGAGGCTGCCGGCGGGGGCGCTCCAGGGGCTGGGGCAGCTCCGGGAGCTGGAGATCCACCACTGGCCGGCCCTGGAGGCCCTGGAGCCCGGGAGCCTGGCCGGGCTCAACCTGAGCAGCCTGGCCATCACCCGCTGCAACCTGAGCTCCGTGCCCTTCCAGGCGCTGCACCACCTGAGCTTCCTGCAGGTCCTGGACCTCTCCCAGAACCCCATCTCGGCCATCCCCGCCGGGGGGCTCAGCCCGCTGGTGCGGCTGCAGGAGCTCCGGCTGTCCGGGGCCTGCCTCACCTCCATCGCCGCCCAGGCCTTCCACGGCCTCCCCGCCTTCCACCGCCTGGACGTGGCGGACAACGCCCTGCAGACGCTGGAGGAAACGGCCTTCCCTTCTCCGGAGAAGCTGGTCGCCCTGAAGCTGTCTGGCAACCCCCTGACCTGTGACTGCCGCCTCCTCTGGCTGCTCCGGCTGCGCCGCCGCCTGGACTTCGGGGCGTCGCCGCCCGCCTGCGCCGGCCCCCGGCACGTCCAGGGCAAGAGCCTGGGGGAGTTCTCGGACATCCTCCCGCCGGGGCACTTCACTTGCCAGCCGGCCCTGATCCAGAAGTCCGGGCCTCGCTGGGTCATCGCGGAGGAGGGGGGGCGCGCCGTGTTCTCCTGCTCTGGGGATGGGGACCCAGCCCCCACCGTCTCCTGGCTGAGGCCCCCGGGGGCCTGGCTGGGGAGGGCTGGGCGGGTCCGGGTGCTGGAGGACGGGACGCTGGAGATCCGCTCGGTGCAGCTGCGGGACAGAGGGGCCTACGTCTGCATGGTCAGCAACGTCGCGGGGAACGACTCCCTGAGGACCTGGCTGGAAGTGATCCAGGTTGAGCCACCCAATGGCACGCTCTTTGACCCCAACATCACCACACCAGGGGTCCCGGGGCCCTTCCTGCTGGACAGCAGAGGGGTAGCCATGGTGCTGGCGGTGGGCTTCCTCCCCTTCCTCACCTCCGTGACCCTCTGCTTTGGCCTCATTGCCCTCTGGAGCAAGGGCAAAGGTCGGGTCAAGCATCACGTGACCTTCGACTTTGTGGCACCTCGGCCCACTGTGGAGAAGAACTCCGGGGGCAACCGGGTCACTGCCAAGCTCTTCTGACCTTTCCCTTTCACGCTGGGGACCCAGGCGAGCCAGCTTCAGATACCAAAGGGGAGGGAACCACGGCCACTTGGGCCGGAACCGGTCCCAAGCAGCCCAGGTCTCCCAGGCCTCCTGCCTGCACCATGCCCAGGGCTATGGCACCTCCGGTTAGCCTGCCTCATGCTGCTGCAGTCTGAGGATGGCATTATCATCTCTTCCCTGAGGGCCCCAGGGAGCTGGCGTGGAGACCTTGGTGTCAGCCCAGCCTTGCCCCCCAATACACAGAGCAGGACATATAACTAAGGCTCCAGGCTGCCCATCAGGCTTTCTTTACACATACCCATAGGCCTTGATAAGCAATAGCAGTCGCCAACCACACTGTGAGATGACTTCGGAGGGAAGTGCCATTTGCTTCTGAGAGTCTCTGCTCCTCAACCAGGTGGTCTTCCCTCTTTCTCTTCCATCCCCTCCCCCAGGCAGAAGGAAAGGACCAGGGACCTCAGCTGAGGAGAAGAGGAGGTGAGTGTGGGACTGGGGAGGACAGACCACACCCTAGCACTGTGTCCGCATGAGCCTCCACCTCCGGCCTCTGTCTGTCATCTCATTAAACCTGCTGCCCGAACGAAATGTGAGTTCTGGAGTTTTCTTTTCTTCAGACTTTTCCTGCCCCTTCTTGCTGTCAAATCTCCCCGTGTCCTCTCCTTCTTGCCCGAATTTAACAAACGGGGTTTATGTAAAAGGTGACCAGCCAGGTCACTCCTAGCTCATTTCCATTTTAACCCTTTAGCATCCTCTCCATCTCTGGGGTGGGCAGGGCAACCCTCCACCTCCCAAGAGGTCCCTTTGCAAAATTCCAATCCAGGACACCCAGCTCCGACCCTCCGTCCTCATTCTAGTTGGGATCTCCCTCTCATTCCCTTGTCCCATGGGGATCCCTACTGTCCTTCAGGGAAGGCAAGAGGGAACTCCTAGAAAATGACTAACAAAAGCAAAGCCTGCCCTCATCAAAGGAGAGAGCCAGAACACAGCAGGACTGGGTTTGGAGGGCAAGAAAGGAACAGGGAGGAGGGGCTGCGAGCTGTAGTGAAAAGTAGAGGTAGCCCTAACCGGTTTGGTTCAGTGGATAGAGCACCGGCCTGCGAACACAAGGGTCCCAGGTTCGATTCCAGTCAAGGGCATGTACTTTGGTTGCAGGCACATCCCCAGTAGGAGGTGTACAGGGGGCAGCTGATGGATGTTTCTCTCTCATCGATGTTTCTAACTCTCTCTCTTCCTCTCAGTAAAAAAATCAATAAAATGTTTTGTTTTTTTTTAAAAAAGAAAGAAAAGTAGCAGTAGAGGCAGCTCACTTCACTGCCCTCCGCAGTTCCAGGTTGAGTGCAGCCCCAGCGGGAAGCTGTCTCCGGAGTGAGGTCACTGTCAGACAGAGACCTCTGATGCAGAGGCGGAGCGGGAGCTGAGATGCTGACAGCCTCTCAGCGTGCTTCAAATAGAGGGCAAAGCGGAGCCAGGAAAAGTAGAGATGCTGAGAGCTCAAGGGACAGCAGCGGAGAGAGGGGAAGAGTGAAGGGAGAGAAAAGGAGCAGGGAGGAGGGGCCGAGTGGAGAGTCAAGGCCCTGGCCAGCCTCTCCACAGCAGCACCCGCAGGGCGTCCACCCCCGGAGCCCCCACAACCCTCACCACCCACACAGCTCCGTGAGCCTCCCAGCTGACTCATTACAGCCCCCGAGGAGGGAGAGGACCGGCACTGCAGGACACAGGGGGACTCATCTGCCAGGAGAGCTCCTCCGGGGGTGGGGGGGGCAGAGGTGAATGTGAGAACGCGCAGTTTGGAGACTGACACTGGAGAATCAGCCATCTTCAGAAATGGGTATCCTTGAGCCTCCAACCCTCCCCCCACCATGCACACAATTCTCTTCGCATCCCAACCACCTCCCTCTCCAGCTCCTAAGACCCCAGAAAGGCTTCCTTGGCGGGTCGCAGCCCTGCTCCTCCTCCTCTCCAAATTCTCCTCCAGCATCTGATTAGGTTGAGAGGAGAGGAGTTGGGGGTGGGGGGGATGGTGTCAGGTGCTAGTGTTTCTCATCGAGTTGAGTTGCAGACTCTGCAATGCAGAGGAGAGCGGAAGCCGCGCTGCTGTCAGCGCAGCCCCCTGAGGCGGTGGGGACAGGGCACAGATGGCGTGTGTCTGGAGCAGGAGGCCTGCTGCCTGAGTCCCAGGGGCTCCAGGGCAGCCCAACAGAAATAGAATGCGAGGCTCAGGTGTAAGTTCAAGTTTTATAATGTCACATTTCAAAGCAAAAAGGAACACACACAAATTATTTTAATACTATACATTTTATTTAATTTGCCCGGACTATTATTTCAACCTATTGTCAATAGAAACATTGGTGATGAACTATTTTACATTGTCTTGTCATATTAGATCTTTGAAAGCCAGTGTATATTTCACACGTACAGCACATTCCAATTCACTCAGTAAATTTTCACCAGAAATATCTAATCTGTACTTGGGTTTCATAAAATTTACTGTTGAAAAATTTGATTCACACATACAACCTGTCCCAAACATACTACAAGTTTTACAATAACAAAATCAAGAATCGTTTTTTCACATTTACATGAATTAAAATTGAATAAATGTAAAATTCCACTTTTGAGTTGCACTGGTCATACAAATATATATATATATGTGTGTGTGTGTGTGTGTATGTGTGTGTGTGTATATATATATATATATACTTCACACACATATTTTTTTAATTGATTTCAGAAAGGAAGGAGAAGAGAGATAGAATCATCCATGATGAGAGAGAATCATTGATTGGCTGCCTCCTGCACATCCCTTATTGGGAATTGAGCCCACAACCCGGGCATGTGCCCTTGGCCAGAATCGAACCTGGGACCCTTCAGTTCGCAGGCCAACGCTCTATCCACTGAGCGAAACCAGCCAGGGCCCACTAACTATCTTTTCAGTGGCCATTGTGTTGGACGGCACAGTTCCAATCACTAGGACCTTCTTGACAGAGATGGGCAAGTACCACTCAAGAAACACACTGGATCTGGGGTGAGGGAAATGGAGTGGCCCTCCCCGCCCCGACTCCACCCCACCACACTGCCATACCTATTCTTCGTAACTGCTTTCCAGAAACCTGGGAGAAGTGAAGTCCCGTTAATGCAGCAAGGTGTCTCTGATGAGCACTTCCACGGCCTATACAATCAGCAAACCAGTCCCTATCACACCTGTCTGGGAAAGCTGCTCAGGTGTGACTGTGTAGACTGGAGTGTGTGTGTGTGTGTGTGTGTGTGTGTGTGTGTGTGTGTACAAGTGTGTGTAGCAGCCAGGGACACAGGTGGCTGTGTGCATGTGTGTGCATGTGCAGCAATGTTATTTATGGCCCACATCATCTTTGGGATACTCAGTGGAGCTCTCCCCAGGGTGGAGAGAGGAGAAAAATAACATTTATATTCTGTCAGTGACTTTATCTCTGCTTTCTTATTTAATCTTCATATCAATCCTATAAGATTGATGCAAGGCCCTTAGCTGATCATGGAACTAAAGGTCCAATAGATGAAGTAACGTGCTCGAGTACACAGGGCCAGTTAGTGAGGGAGCTGCATTTGAACTCAGGGCTGACTCGAAACCCAAATGCCTCCACCAAACTGCGATGCTTTGCTCTAATCACTGCATGTTCCTGTAACTCTTCCCCCCGGGGCCTCTCCGCTGCAGGGCTGACCTGTGAGAAAGGCAAAATCCAGGGTCATCTTCCACCCCCACTAGCTCGCAACAACTTTTTAGGGGGAGGGCTGGGGTCAACTGTTAATCCTCACTTCCTTCAGTAACTATAATGCGACTTATTCAGGAGCTGAGGGTTGGTTGCTTTTTACTCTTTCTTCTCAGTCACCTCTCCCAGCATCCTTGCTGCCTCTTTCCCAGGGGCCAGCAGAGAGGAGCAGGAATTCCAGGGGTCAGAGGGCCTGAACTGAAACACCCGGGTGGCAGGGTCAGAGCCTCTCATGATTAAAACAGGGGCTTCACATTTATGCAAAAGAAAGAATAAACCAGAAATTAAAATGATTGATTTCGCCCTAACCGGTTTGGCTCAGTGTCTGCCTGCAGACTGTAAGGTCCCAAGTCCGATTCCAGCCAAGGGCTTGTACCCTGGTTGCAGGCACATCCCCAGTAGGAGGTGTGCAAGAGGCAGCTAATCAATGTTTCTCTCTCATTGATGTTTCTGGCTCTATTCCTCTCTTCCTCACTGTAAATAATCAATAAAGATATTTAAAAAAATAAAAAAATAAAACAAAAATAAAACGGGGGCTTCAGACTTCTTAGGTCCTTTTCTGGGTTCTTACCTCAACCTCTTCGGTTACAGAGAGGCTGCTCAGGAATTTCTTGGATGGTGGAACAATCTGTGAGCTCTTTCCGCCTTGAGAGGGATTTAACTCTGCCCGCTTTCTGCCTAGCTGATCAAAGATATAATCTTGCGTTCATTCAACGTTCACTGAGTGCTTATCTCGCGCCAGGCACTGTGATAGAAGCTGGTGCGAAAGACCTCCGCCTTCCAAGGAGCGCCCACCCCCTGGTCCCTGGGGTGAGTCCTAGTGCCCGGCAGGGGCTGGGCTGGGCTGGGAGGGGCGCAGGGCGCCCGCGAGGCTGCCAGAGAAGCTACCCGCGTGCAGAGGCCGGAGCGGGGGCCCAACGGTCCCTAACGGTCCAGGACCCGGACGGCGGCTGGAATGCATTTTTCCAAAGCAAACCCCGGCTTTCAGAAACCCACCCCCTTTCTCCTCCCGCACAGAAACGTTTCCCTCCAGGCCCAGGGAAGAGGGGCGGGCCCGTAAGCTTCCTTACCCCGTGGTGCTCGGATCTCGGGTTCTTCATCTTTCCTGCTGCGTGTCCATCCTCATCGGCTATTCGTTCCTCAGCAGAGGAACAGCGGGCCCTCGCTCTGGACTGTCAGCTCCTTCCCCTTCACTTTCCATCTCTGGGAAACCTATTTCTTATGTCTTTCCCTCTACCCCCATGGTTTCCATGTCTCCTGAACCGATCGAGGCAAAGATCGCAGAGCAAAACAGGTTGCGGAGCAAGGCCCATCATGAGGTTGTGTGGTGGCACTGGCATTGATTGCACAAAGGCACTAATGTGTGCGAACGATGATGACACGCGCGTCATCGATTCAAGCCCCTCGCTCGCACCAGGGTCCCAGCCCGGAGCGCAGATTTGTCTCCCCCGCTTCAAAGGTGGAAGCCTCCTCCGTGATTGGCCCGGAGGCGGGCCGGGAGGACGGCGGGAAGACGCTAATTGGCTGTTTAATTCCCAGCCGGTGCGCCCTACAATTAACCGAGCCCGCTTTCCCCGCGTCCCGTTGGCTGATTGGGTGGGCCGGCCTCGAATTCCTGCCGGGTGATTGGGTGTCCATCCGCGGCCGCGCCGTCGCTCAGGGGGCAACCCGCGGAGGGATTGGCTGCGGCTCGGAATGCGATTGGTCGGGCCGCGATCCTGGCGCTGATTGGTGCGGGCGGGCCGCGGGGGCGGGGCAGCGGCTTGCGAGCGAGCGAGCGAGCGAGCGAGGTCCGCGGAGCGGCGAGGCGGCGGCTGCGTGTGGGAGGAGGAGGCGCCGGCAGCCGGGCTGAGGTGCGAGGAGTGCGCGGCGGCTGGCTCGAGGCGTGGTAAGGGCGGGGTCCCCGAACGGCTGGCAGGGCGCACCCCTGGCAGCGAAGAGGTGAAAACGTGGGGCTGAGGAAGGAAGGCATCCGAGCGCCCCCTGGGGGAAGCCTGAGGCCAGGGGGTGGGTTCCGGGGGGGCAGCGGTCGGAGCCCCTGGTGGTGAGGCACCATGCGGACAGTATTGCCTCCCCACTTCACCCCACTCCCACCCCTACCTCCCATCCCCCCCTTCACCACCCCCACCTCCACCCCTACTCCCCATCCCCCCATTCCCCCCCTCACCACCCCCACCCCCACCCCTACCCCCATCTCCCCATTCCCCCCTCACCACTCCCACCCCCACCCCCCATCCCCCCATCACCACCCCCACCTCTACCCCCCATCTCCCCATTCCCCCCATTCCCCCCCTCACCACTCCACCCCTACCCCCCATCCCCCCATTCCCCCTTCACCACTCCCACCCCCACCCCTACCCCCATCCCCCCATTCCCCCTTCACCACTCCCACCCCCACCCCTACCCCCCATCCCCCCATTTCCCCCTCACCACCCCCACCCCCACCCCTGTAGCCAAAGGGGATGCTCCGGGCCCAGGTGAAGCCGCAGCAAACCCGGTGCCAGAGGGTTTGCCAGTTCGGACACGTCCACAGACGCTTGTTTTTGAAAACCGCTCTCCGTCGATGTTTGCCTTTTATTTCCCCCTGCTTTTACTCTCATTGATCTCTCATAAAATGACTGTTCGCAGTCAGAATAATACCTTGGGGAGGGGGGCGGTGGTTTTTCCAGCTCCCCTCCCTACTCCTCCCTGCAGGCATCTTCGTGGGTCTTGGCTGAAGAGCCCCGTGCCAGCGTTACATTTCCTAGATTCTTCTCAGCTGAGGAGACATGGATGGAGGCTTTCCCCCCTCTCTCTCCTGCACTGGTTTAAAAATAAATGTAGCAAAGGATGAGGACATGGAATAGGGCCCTTCCACAAGCCCATCGCCGAGATTTAGGGGCTTTGCAGGTTCCGGTTGTTTGGAGATTCCAGATCCCTTCCCCGTGGAACTTACCCTGTAACTTGACTCCCATGTTTTTTTGAAATGATAATACAGGCGGAACCTTGTCTGATAGTTGTTAGCAGCTGTTTTAATACAAATGTCGCGAGAATCTAAAGTTAGCTTTGACCGAAAACCATCATGGAGCTACCACACTTCTCATCTCAAAATGATCCAAGTCTCCTTTTGCCTTTACCCAGCTCCCCAGGGACTTAACAGACTTCACGTCTGATCGCCTCCTCTTCCCGTTCAATTTGAAGTCAATACAATCAAACACAAGCTAGCATTCACCACTATACAGTTGTCCCCATTTCTATCATGTTATTTCCCACTTTTCTTTCTTTTAAAGAGAACTGTACAACAGTGTGAAAGAATGGTCGAGGTGTAAAATAAACATACACTAGGTCAGTCAAGTAGCTAGGCATTCTCTGAGACATCAACTGATAACTCAGTGGGCACAAACTTCATTTGTGATATCCAAAGAGAAGTTAGTAAAACTTAGCTTTTGGTTCAAATAGAAGTCACTCAATGAATGAATGTGTCCTTGTCACAGATACTCATCTGCCTACCCCACACACCCCCTAACCACCACCAAAATGATCAATAGTCTCTGTCTTAGATGCTACCTCGACCAGCTGCTCAAATGGGAAACGTGGTAGCCAGCTCCCTGGCTTGCCCTCCAACGTTTCCATAATCAATTTCTAAGTCTAACGTGTGCTCCCTATTAAAACGAACTAATCCAGCTCCCTTTCTCCATCTGTATCTTTGACACCTGGACCAGCTTCGGAATTAGCCTTCCCACCTCCACTGCTGCTGCCTTCAACTCATTCTCGCTACAGACACAACCATTAGTCAGAAATTACAGGGAATGTGTTGTGAAGGAATGTTTGGAGAACTACAGAAGCCCATAGCGATGAAATCCAATAATAGTGTAAGGGCCGGGACTGAGGAGATTTAGTTGCAGAGCCAGAGGAGTATCAGGTATCCTTTTGCCTTGATCCTGATAGTTTCTGAACTGGAGAAAAAAAGAAAAAATGCTGAGAGTCTCCTTTAAAGAGGTGCCATTCCTGACTGGTCTTCAAACCACATTGTATGGAAATGACTAATTAGCTGTGTATCCTTAGGGAAATTTCTTTATCTTCCTGGGCCTCAGTTTCCCCATTTGCAACATTATTAGTGGAATTAGTGGATCATTTCTGTGGTCCCTTTCCAGTTCTAAAATTCCATGATTTCTTTGTCCCATCAGCATGAATCATGGCCAGAAAGATGGTGGTGAAGGCAGACAGCATTAGAGTTCAGATGAGTTATTACTTAGGTCTTGTTCACAAACTGGATTTGTTTCAGTTTCCCCAAACCTTGGACACCTGCCTGAAAGGAAGCTTCTTGAAGATAGTTGCTAAGATTGTCTGAGCTGCCGTAACTGGTCGGGCTCAGTGGATAGAGCATTGGCCTGTGGACTGAAGGGTCTAGGGTTCGATTTCGGTCAAGGACATTTATCTTGGTTTCGGGCACATCCCAGTTGGAGGTGTGCAGGAGGCAGCTGATCAATGTTTCTAATTATCTCTCTCCCTTCCTCTTTGTAAAAAAATCATTAAAATATATATATATATTTTTAAAATAAAGGAAGAAAAAGATTGTCTGAGCTGTTATATCCCCAGGGCCAAGCACATATACTAGTATTTATTGCTTTGAATGCAGGAGATAAGTGATTTGCATTTTAAGGGGGTGGTTTTTCACCTGTGCACCATCTAAGAAATAAACCATTTAAATTCTAGCTCCTCCCACCTGTTGCATTAACCAGGAATTTATATTGATTTTTCATTGCCATGTAATTAGTTGGTTTGGTATTGATCTTTCCTACTAGACCATTTCAGGGCAGCAGTTCTTATTTCTTGTTGTGTCCGGAGCATGCTCAGCCCACAACTACCGGTATTAACTGGAGCACATTAATAGTGAAGACAAGTTTTGTACTTTAGAGACTATATGGGGAAATACACAAAGTAGTCAGTAGATAAAAGAAGTGAAATCTTTTCTAGACACCCAGAATAAACCATATGGTCATATAGGAAAATGGTAGTTCTTTTGGCCCAAGAATTAAGCAAAACAGAAATCTCCTTTATGAAACCAAACTTGTTTCTTTTCCTTTGGTATATAAAAAGATGTTTACATGATACCACCCAGACTTTCACAGAAATGTTGAAAGTTTTTGCAGCCAACTTAGGGCGTGTGGGAGAGAGAAACTGATGTTTATCCAGTTAGGGAAGGAACCACGTATCTCTAATAACCCCACATTAAAACTCAACCCTTTTATTCCTTCCCACTGTAAGTGGGTGGGCGTGCGGAGCAGCCACAGTCTTTTGGGTTGAAACTCAATCTCTACAAGTGATACAGACTCACTTGGTCAGAGCATCGTCCCATATACCAGAAGGTTGCAGGTTTGATCCCCAGTCAGGATAGATACCTAGGTTGTGGGTTTGATCCATGGTCAGAGTAACTGAGAGGCAACAGATCAATGTTTCTCTATCTCTATCCCCTCTCTGTCTGTCTCTGCTCCCACTCTCCTCTCTAAAAATCAATAAACATGACCTCAGGTGAGGAAATAACATGATTTATAAATAAAGTGATATAGTATACTGAGTCTACTTACTGGGTAATTAATTGCCTAGAATAGCAAAATACTTGAAAAGAGTCCCTCACTGAGGTGATAAAAGGAGGTGTTAAAGCCATGAGTCTGGGCAAGAGTGGATTAAATTTCTAGAAAAAAATAGATTTGTCAAACTTCCTCTCTTGATGATCTTTATTCATTTCTGCTGATCAGTAAAGCTCTCTGAGGCCAGATGCAAAACTGGGTCCTCTGACTGACAGTAGTAAGAAACCCACCTATAGTCTCCTCATGTTTATATGCTCCTCAGAATGAGATTTCTGTGTTGGGTCTTCTGTTCCTGGTCACTCCTCCTGAAAAAGGCTTTCAGGAAAAGCACATATGGAACCGAAGTTTTATTCCTAAGTAGGTCCTTTATTAATGAATGTGCTCTTTTTAGGCTTACTAGGATACAATATTTTTTCTTGGATATCATAAAGGTTGAATTTTTTTACCTGAAGCAAATTGTAGCATAAATTACATTTCCTCACTCATTTTAAAGCAAATCTTATTGAAAGTCGAATTGTATCTTATTCTGTAGATTGTAATATCTGGAAATAGAGACTGTCTTTAGTTGTTTTATTTTTGCCACCTACAGTGTTTTCCAACAGTATTTATTCATTTTTTTAATTGAATGTGTTGACGAAAATAAAGATACCAGGTACTGTTTCGCTGAGATTGCTTTCAGAGTAACTTTAAAAGTTTTTAAGTAGCCGAAACTGGTTTGGCTCAGTGGGTAGAGCATTGGTCTGCGGACTGAAAGGTCCCAGGTTCAATTCCGGTCAAGGGCATGTACCTTGGTTGTGGGCACATCCCCAGTAAGGGGTTTGTAGGAGGCAACTGATCGATGTTTCTCTCTCATCGATGTTTCTAGTTCTTTATTCCTCTCTCTTCCTCTCTGTAAAAAAATCAATAAAATATGAAAAAAAGTTTTTAAATCTGCAAATAATAACTCAGACTCTGGGTAAGGGGTTAGGTGACCTTTTTAATCAGGTGTACTCTTCTGCAAAATAGGTTACATCCTATCTCACAGGATTGTATAAAGATTGAATAAAATAATGTATGTAAAGTGTCTGATGGCATTTTACTCAATACATACACTGAGTGGCCAGATTATCATGATCTCTGAACACATAATAATCTGGCTACTCAGTGTGTGTGTGCGTGCGTGCGTGCGTGCGTGTGTGTGTGTGTGTGTGTGTGTATTAGAGGCCCGGTGCATGAATTCATGCATGGGTGGGGTCCAACCAGTCTGGAGGGGATATGGGTGGTTGGTCAGCCTGCCTGCTGGTCCAACTCCTGGTCAAGGGGACAATTTGCATATTAGCCTTTTATTATATAAGATGTACACTGAGTGGCCAGCTTATTGTGCATTCAGAGATCATAATAATCAGGCCACTCAGTGCATATTGTTTCATCTTCATACATATACTGTAGCATCTAGCACATCTACTTACTATATGTGCTGAACTACACTGGTGAAACCAGTGGTGTAGAGACAGCAGATAAACCATTGCCTACAGTGTGAGCAAGTGCTGTCACGGAGGCATCATTTACCTGGCAGTGTGAGCTAAGGAGAAACGCACCTGATGTCAGCTAGGGGAAACCCTCAGAAGACATGGTAGTGATAGAGAAGAGACCTAAAGAAGGAATAGGATTTTGTCAGAAATACCAGATGGATTAAAGAGTAAGACTAGGAAAACAGAAGTGACACATGTCAGAGCAAGGATACATAAGAGAGCACATCATATGCCTGTAGTAAAGCTGGGATTAGAATCTAATGGTAGGCAGAGATCAGATTGCAAAGAACCTTTTATGCCATTAATGAGTTCACATGCAGGCAACAGTTGCTGAAGTAGAGGAATTTTATTCATTCATTCAACAAATGATTATTAACAAAATATTTATTGAAGGGCTACTGTTTACTAAGCACTGGAAATCACTGGAAGGTTTTACTTCAAGAAAGGTTTGGAAGCATAGAAGGGCACATACACAAAATTTTAAATACATAGTTTGAAATAAAAATCTAATATTTTAAATATTAACAATTTTTTGTTCCTTTGTCTTTTAAAACTGTGATCAATGTATAATTCTAATTGCAATGCAAGGATGAAGCATGCCTCTAGTTGTATACATATGTGTCCCTTAACTAACTTAAAAAATACTGAGACCTTTGACATGATACAGATTTTGAGTCTGCCCAAGTTCTTACCATGGGGAAAAGTAGTATTCTCTTTAATAATAATGATGATGATAATATATTGTGTTCCCATGTGTCTCTGCCAGTCACAAAGATATTGGATGAAAGTTCCTTCTTTTCCCTCATTTGCTTATTTTAGGATATAAGTCAGACTACAGCAGAAAATGTCTACCGAACGCACTTCTTGGACAAGTTTGTCCACTACTCAGAAAATAGCACTAGGCCTCGGGATCCCAGCCAGTGCAACGGTTGCCTATATCCTATACCGCAGATACAGGGAAAGCAGAGGTATGTGAACCACACAGCCTTGTTAAATTGAAATGAAAACTGTACTTGCTAGACTGGGGATCATTGGCTGGGCTGTAAGTGGCTTTGTGTGAGGAGTCTTTGAAACTATTTGTTTCTTCTTTTCCGTATTCTTAATGTGAAATGAATTCATTTTATAATTCTATTGATCTGTTCCCTTTGGCAGCATCAACATCGCAGCGGATTCTTTTTATTTTTTTGATATCTATACTCACCTTTTTTATATGTTCCTTGTATTTAATTGTTAGGAGAAGGCTAACTGTGGGGTTTAATTTTCCCTACACTGGACTTAGAGAGGACCTAGAGAAATTATTTCTGTAAAACACGGGAGAAGTTCTGAGCCTAATGGAATACTCTGGCAACTTCTAGCCTTCATTCTTCTCCAAGAGAAATAGTTTGCCTAAAATCCAACAGCTCTTGAGTGCAGAGCCAAATGCTTTACCGAAACACTTAGCATCTGAAAGAGTATCCCAGAGATAATGCACATCTTCTGGTCTTTGGGGATCTTCTAATTGCCACTCAGATGCAACTTCTGTTTGTCATGGTGGTTGAAATTTTCAGTTATCTCTTGGATCAGTGTCTCTTTGACAGCTAGATTCAGGGGAGGGCTGTTGGTAGCTTTGGGTGTTAATCTAAGTCTGATCTTATGAGCCATGATCTGTGCAGAAGAGCGGCTGACGTTTGTTGGGGAGGACGACATTGAGATAGAGATGCGAGTGCCCCAGGAGGCTGTGAAGTTCATAATTGGCCGGCAAGGAGCCAATATTAAACAGGTAAGTGTGGGAGCCGGCAATCTGCTTTTCCAGGGATTGATCCTACTTTCCCTTCTCTGCCCTTATCCCACAAAATCCACCCACATTATGTATATTTTGAACAGAAAAAAAAAAACACAAAAAAGAAACAGGAACTTTTTAGGTAATATGCTGCTTACCTTTTAGAAATGAATATTCTCCCTAGAGAATGGATGAATATTCTCCCTAGAGAATCCCCATTTCAAGCTAATTCTCTCTAGAGAATTAGCTTGAAATGGGGATTAGCTGCATTTTAGCTTGGTGTAGCTTTTTTACTTTTCAAATTCTCATTAATTGACATTAAATATTGAATTCCTGCCTGATTCTTTTTACCATCTTTCATTGTTTGGGTGGTGTGCAAACAAAATACTTGATTCTCTAATCCAAATAAAATTAAGAGAAAAGAGGGTTCAAAGCACAAAGAGACAGTGTTTTTAAGTTAACAGCTATTGGGGGTTACCCTTGTCACTAATCTCCCTCCGTAAGTACCTATAAGTGAGGACTGCTTATAACAGCCTGATTTTGCTGATAATGGTGTCCAGTTCCATCTACCTCCGGGTTAGGTTTAGGGTGTCCTTCACTGAAGGGGCGCTCTTCCAGAGCATATTGCCATGTATCCTTTTCTCTGCAGCTGCGGAAACAGACAGGTGCGCGGATTGATGTGGACACAGAGGATGTAGGCGATGAGCGGGTGCTGCTTATCAGTGGTTTTCCTGTTCAGGTGTGCAAGGCCAAAGCAGCAATCCATCAGATCCTGACAGAGACTGCCCCAGTGTCTGAGCAGCTCTCAGTTCCCCAGAGATCTGTGGGCAGAATCATAGGTACCACTGGACAGCTTCCTCTACTGCTACCTTTTATTCTTTACCTTTGCCTTTCTGTCACATCTGCCCAGGGCTGTTTCCTGGCCTACTTCCCCTTCACCTTGCTGAGGGAAAAAAAGGGACATTGAGATCAGAGCTTCTCTTTTTTACAGAGCTGTTGGCAAAGCAAAACCCATTATCTCAAGAAGTTGTATGATCTGAACTTTACAAAAATGTTCCAAAAGGGTTCAGGTAATGTTACTTACCTCATAATAGATTTTTGTTGCTAATCCTCACTGAGGAGGATATTTTTAAGATATATATATATATTTTTAATTGATTTCAGAGAGGAAGGGAGAGAGAGAAAAACATCAGTGGTGAGAGAGTATAATTTAGTGGCTGCCTCCTGCATGCCCGCCACTGGGGACCGAGCATGCAGCCTGGGCATATACCCTTAACGGGAATCAAATCCGGAACCCTTCAGTCCACAGGCCAACATTCTATCCACTGAGCCAAACCAGCTAGGGCAAGAAGGGTATTTTTTCCTTTGATTTTTTAGAGGGAAAGGGAGGGAAGGAGAGAGAGAGACAGAGAGAAACTTTGATATGAGAGAGATAATATTGTTTGGTTGCTTATGAACACACCCTGACAGAGGCCGGGGATTGAACCTGCACTGCAGGTATGTGGCCTTGACCAGGAATAGAACCCACAACCCTTTGGTGCATGGGCTAATATAAGTCAGCTAATGTGGAGAACACTATAGAAATATTCTAGTTCATAGGAAACTAGTCTGCAACATATCAGATAATGAAACCTGAGAACACCGGCTAGGGCATAATAACGGATTTTTAAAGGGAAGCTGGGGGTGCTTATATTATTCCAAATCATTGTAGATAGTGTAGATAGTGCTCTATAGAGCACCTGTCATGCTTTCCTACTTATGTTGCTGTTAGAGGCAGAGAAATGTCCTTTCCTTGGTCCAATGTTTCATACACCTTGTATGATCTCTTCTAACAAAGGGGGGGTGTAAAATATGCTGAGTGGTCAGAAAGTGGAAATGACATGAAGAAGTTAACCTAGCCAGTGTTGGAGTTTAAATAAAATGGATAGAGCAAATATCCAGAACTATCCTTCTTACAATAGGGATTTTAGTAGCTCCTGCTTTCCATTCAATATTCTGCATTCTGTTCAGTTTGAAAATGGGCACTAACTCTCTTCTCGTAAATACAAAATAGTGATTTCTCTAGCAGTTAATGTTGGCCAGGATGTAAGGACAGGATTTTATGTATTGTTCAATGTAGGGAGAGGTGGTGAGACGATTCGTTCTATCTGTAAGGCCTCTGGAGCCAAAATTACCTGTGACAAAGAATCAGAGGGGACATTACTACTATCAAGGCTCATAAAGATCTCAGGAACACAGAAGGAAGTGACAGCAGCCAAGGCAAGTAGTTGATAACTTGGATCACATCTAAGAATGAGAAGAACCCTTTATTCCATCCTGGGTCAAAACATCTGGCCACATAACTATCATCCCTTTCTGATTTTCCACAGCATTTGATACTAGAGAAAGTTTCAGAAGATGAAGAACTTCGGAAGAGAATCACTCATTCTGCAGAAACCAGAGTCCCACGCAAGCAGCCAATCAGTGTAAGAAGAGAGGAAGTGACAGAGCCAGGTGCAGCTGGAGAGCCAGCTTTATGGAGAAACGCTAGCACTAGCCAGGAGCAGGCTCCTCCGCTGGCAGATCCTCCCCGCAGAGGAGGAGGTGACATGGCTGCTGCGGGGCCAGAAGAAGGTTCCTGGGAGAAACCTAATGGTGACGGCTTTCAGAAGTCTGGAGCCCAGACCAGTCCAGAGATGTCCATGTTTGAAAGTATGTAACAGAGAGGGAACCCACAGTTACATGGAAGATGTACCAGCTTAGATAACCCAAAATAGGAAGGGGTGGTTTTTTTTGGTTTTTTTTTTTTTTTTTTTTTTTTTTTTTTTTTTTTACTACACTTAGAAGTTTTCATCACAGATATGTCTTTCTGATAATATTTTACCTGGATTAGTACTAAAGATAATATTTTTCTGAGTATAAATCAGTTAATGTGGAGAACACTATAGAAATATTCTAGTTCATAGGAAACTAGTCTGCAATATATCAGATATTGAACTTACACGATATTCCTTCACCAAACATACCTATTAAGTGAAACAGCATGATTTTTCTTGCTTGTCTCATTGTTTTTAAAAAATCATTCAAGAAAAATTAAAAAGCTGTCAGCTTTGTCTTTTATACATAGGTATAGGATGAGCAGGGGAATCAAGGCCCCTGAGAGGTTCACAAATTTGTCCAGGGTCACACAGTGAGTCAGTGAAAGAATGGAATCTGGACAAGCCCCTATCTGTCCATGTATCTTTTCACTGGTCCATGCTGCAGCTAGCATATGGAGGATTTACCGTCACTATAATTGGTGACTAATTTGAATACATAGCTGATGACTAAGAATGTAAACTCTTATTACTCATTTATATAGGAAGGTACAAAACATAGCTTAGACTTCTCTTCAGGATGTTCTTATATGATTCATCCAGTTGTCCCTCCAGCCACCTCTAAAATGGTAATAGCCACTTGATATTTGTACCTCCCGATGCAGTCTAGTCATTCCAACCAGAGATGATTCCAGTATGGTTACCGTATTAGATGGTGATGATTCTGCAGCTTAACTTGCTTATCCCTATGTTTAGTCCCCAGCCCTGACTTCAGTTTCCATGCTGATGAGTTCCTAGAAGTCTACGTCTCTGCCTCTGAACATCCTAACCATTTCTGGATCCAAATCATTGGCTCCCGAAGCCTGCAATTGGATAAGCTTGTCAGTGAGATGACCCAGCACTATGCGAATAGTCTGGTGAGTTGCCATAGGAACAGGCTCTGTCTGATGAAAAAAGGGCATATATTTTTCATTGTGGTATTTATATTTTTCCTTTTCCTGTAGAGCAACTATGTGTTCTTTTTTCCTTCTGACATTATTTTTAAGCCTACCCCTTCCTAACTCTACTCCCTCTTGACTCCTTATCCCCATATAGCCTGAAGACTTAACTGTGCATGTAGGAGACATTGTAGCAGCTCCTTTATCTACAAATGGTTCCTGGTATCGAGCCCGGGTCCTTGGCACCTTGGAGAATGGGAACCTGGACCTCTACTTTGTTGACTTTGGAGATAATGGAGAATGCCCAGTGAGGGACCTCAGGGCACTCAGGTCAGTGTGGAGGCCAGAGCAGAATCCGGCTGGAGTGCCAGCTGTTGGCTCAGCCCTGGCCATAGGGTGGGGAGCTAGCTGTTGGCACTCATCACCAGGGGGATTTGGGAGAACCTGTATACACAGAACAGAAGATTATCTTCTCCTGCTGGGTTGGCCAGAAGCAAGGAATATAAGCAGGCCCTCTGGTTCCAGAAATCTAATTTCAGTCTCTTTCCCTTTAGGAGTGACTTCCTAAGCCTTCCATTTCAAGCAATTGAGTGTAGTCTGGCGCAGATCGCCCCCTCAGGTAAATTGGTCACTTACTGACCTTGCCCCCAAATAGAATAACTTCGATACAGCACATGGGAGGAATCCACACATTTCAAGGCTTTTTGAGTTAAAGGGGCTCAAGTGCCTTTTCCTCACCAGCACTAGAAATCAACAGCCAGAAACTTGCTCTCAGTGACAGTCAGACGTAAGTGCCTTCCAGAGCAGAAAGATGTAGTTCTAATTTCCCTCCGGGTATAGTCCTACCCATGTCAGCACTGGCTCCTTCTTGGGCTCTCCCTACAATCTTTTATCAGGTGAACAGTGGGAAGAGGAAGCTTTGGATGAGTTCGACAGACTTACTCACTGTGCTGGCTGGAAGCCCCTGGTGGCCAAGATCTCTAGCTATGTCCAGACTGGGGTCTCAACTTGGCCCAAGATCTACTTATATGATACTAGCAATGGGAAGGTAAGATTGGGGTTCACTCATTGCTCACTAGCTTTAGTATATTTATAGATTTGTTTACTTTTTCTTTCCCAGAAAAACCTATCTGATGTTGCTCCTACTTTGTAAGATCCTGCAAGTATCAATCCTAGCTCTTTGGCCCCGTTTCTTCAGATGTGCCCTTCCTTACAGAGAGAACATGATTCCCTTTTCGTTTTTCTTCTCAGAAACTTGATATTGGGTTAGAATTAGTTCGTAAGGGATATGCAGTTGAGCTTCCTGAAGACGTGGAGGAAAACGGAACTGTCCCAGGCATGTTGTACGATGTGGTGAGTGAGCTATCGCAGTCATTGAGGGTGCTTCTTTGGGGTAAAGCTCGTGCCTTGAGAAACATGAGGGCTTCTAGTCATGCATGACATTTTGTAGAGTGCTTTCCTAGGTTGTCGAAGGAGGCATTTTGTCCCTCTCAGCAACCAAGCTCAACTGCCTGAACCAGACCCTATGAGCAAAGTGACTGAGTGGCCGCTTCTTTCCCTCCAGCTAACAGTCTTCCTTTTTCTCTTGTTTTCATCCTCTCAGGCCACAGAAGCATCTGCCTCTCTCAGCAGCATGTTCACTGAGAGCAAGAAGAGCCCTGGAGAGATAGCAAACACCCTGTCCTGCCTCAGCTTATCAGGTACAAGCAGCATTTACTCCCTAGAGCACATGTGTCAAACACAAGGCCCGCGGGCCAAATCCGTCCCGCCAGGCCTTGCAATGTGGCCCGCACCGCGCTGTCATCACTGCACTCCGCTGCGTTTCCATCACAATGACAGTTTATGACTGTTCAGTAAACCATTCGGCCCTCGATTTAAGCTGGATTTTAGATTTTGGCCCCTTCTCTGATTGAGTTCGACACCCCTACTAGAGCGTCTTTGGAAGCTACCACTTCTCAGTCAGTCTCTCCAAACGAGGGAGCTTGTAAAGGCTTGTCCCTTAACCACGGGGGTCATTGAGCATCCCTGAGCCTCAGTGGTGATGCCTGTTGGATTAGAGCAGTGTCTAACTTTCTCCTCATTCCTGCTGTGTAGAGGCTGCCTCTATGTCTGGCGATGATAACCTTGAAGAGGACTACATAATCTGAAGTCTGCTTCAGCTGCCTCAGCCATCTGCTTTGCTTTGTGAGTGGAGCTATCATCTGTCTGTAGCAACAGGAAAAGTAATGAGGGTGGCCAACAGGGGCCTTGCTTTAGTCTCTCTACCCCATAGCCTAGCTAAGCACTGTTCTCTGCAGCTGCTTTCCTGTAGCTTAACTTGCTCTCAGATTGAGTCCTTTCAAGCTTTTTGTGTCTTTGTGTTTCTGGCAGGATTTGGTACCTGGAGAGAGGAGCCTATGATAAAGATATCTATGCAATCCTTCCATTATTAATATACAATCTGGACTGCTGTGGATCAAATGCATTTTCTCCTTCCTTGGGACGACCAGAAAGAGTGTAGGGCAGGAGACAAATATATGTTCCTACTCCACTCTCCACCCCACCCAGACGCTTCCAGTGTCTGAATGCTGCTACATTTTGTCCAGGCTGCTCAACATCTGACTGTTCCCTCAACCAGTCAGAATGCACAGTCCTGCTAGGCTGTGTCCTTTGTGAGGCTGGGAAGTAGCCAGGGTTTGGTCATTGGAGGTGGTGATTCTGCATACTTCTGACTCACCTCCTCAAGTGACTCTGGTTAAAGGAAGGTTTTTTGTGTGTGTGAGTTTGTTTTTAATATATTTTATTGATTTTTTTACAGAGAAGAAGGGAGAGAGACAGAGAGCTAGAAACATCGATGAGAGAGAAACATCGACCAGCTGCCTCCTGCACATCCCCCACCGGGGATGTGCCTGCAACCAATGTACATACCCCTGACCGGAATCGAACCTGGGACCTTTCAGTCCACAGACTGACGCTCTACCACTGAGCCAAACCGATTTCGGCAAGGGAAGTTTTTTTAATGAACCAACTCAAAGACTGCAGTTCAGTCAGGAGGCAAAGAGGAAAAAACCAGCATATTCATATTAAAAATCCTCATGAACTGAGAAAAGAATGCTGCCTCCCATCCTCAGCTGCTGATTTTTTTGGAGACAGGTTTTTTGGAAACAGTTCTTTATTTTCCCTGTACATATTGGTTAAAATATAAGCAAGAAGAGAGGCAGCTCAGGAAATACTCTAAATTGCTAGTATAGTATCTATTATATATTTATGTATGCACACACCCAGAGAAAGAGAACATGTATAGTTTTTCAAAGCTTTTTGGGGGGAAGAGGGGTTCTTTGCTGAATAAAGTTATCAAAAAGTTATCTAAAACTAAATGCTGGTTGAATCACAAGGGAAACAGGCCTTTGGGTATCTCTTCTGAACTTAAATCTGGTGAAGATTGTGAACACCTCACATAAAGGGGGTCCATCTATCAATATAATAAGTGTTCCTCCATCAACACTTCATATTCTTTCCCTCAAGTTACCAGATCCAACTTAGATTTGGGCTGGGTAAGAAAAAAAAAAAGACCCCCGCGTAAAGTATTTGAAAGAAAAAAACCTGGATTAGGATTCTAGAAGCCCGGGTTCTAGAAATACATCTCTGGACTCGAGGGAACCAGTTTCCCTACAACCTCTCTCCTCTCAGTATTGTCAGGATCCAGTGAGAACTAGGAAGGTTTTTGAAGTAAATATTATCAGTGTAATGTGGGTGGTAGGATAATGGCAAATTAACATTTTTTTAAGGATCAGCATAGTAAACTGAAAACTTGAAATAGCACTAAGGATGTCTTTGTGCAGGTTTTTTTGAATCTAGGAATTAGTACCCAGCCGGTGTGGCTCAATGGTTGAGTGCTGATCCCACAAACCAAGAGGTCCCCAGTTCGGTTCCTGGTCAGGGCACATACCTGGGTTATGGGCTCAATCCCCAGTAAAGGGTCTGTAGGAGGCAGCTGACCAATGTCTCTCTCCAATTGATGTTTCCATCTCTCTATTCCTCTTTCTTCCTCTTTCCCTATGAAAAAAAATTTAAAATCTAGGAATTAGTGAGCTAGGTCTACCCATATATTACATGGCAATTCTATTTTCCCATAGCCACAATTTTCAAAAATTTTCTCAAAAATCTTAGTGCTTGCCCTGGTCGGTTTGGCTCAGTGGACAGAACATTGGCCTGTTGACTGTAAAGGGACTGAGTTCAATTCCCAGTCCAGGGCACCTGCCCAGGTTGTGGCCTCAATCCCCAATAAGTGTGGGGGTTGGGGGGGAGGCGACAACATGCAGGACGTAGCCAATCTTTGATTCTCATCATTGATGTTTCTGTCTCTCCAGCTCCCCTCCTCTCTGAAATCAATAAAAATATATTTTTTTTTTCAGTGCCACTTAGCAGAGGCACTCCTGTGAAGGAGCAGCTCTTATGAGTAGTTTCAGAAAATTCAACACAGGGCTACCACTGACCTTTCAGACCTTGGCTTAGCCCTGGAATTGGAACCACTCTACAAGGTCATGAGGTCACTTAGTCCCTAGTTTTCTCAGCTCCTCAGCCTTCACTGTTAAATAGAGAGGACCCCTAACATAAATCATTCATAGGACTTCTTGCCGTGGAAAATAAGTAGTGTCTCATTCCTAGCTGCATTTGCTGCTGTGTATAAAAGTGTGTTCCTTTACATGGCCTTTAAGCCTTGTCAGTTTACATCCCATTCTGATGTGTTCCTTAGTCTTCCAACACAAGCCTGTACTTTTCCTGCTACCCGGAATGCCTATGCTTCCTATTTCTTATTTTGTCTGCTGCAAATCCCTGAGTGAAAGCCAATGAACCCATGTGCCTCCTCTCATCTCCACATCCAAAGAGAAGGAACTAGCACGTCTCCAATTTGAACTGAAATATATGAATGAAAATCTCCCAATAAGGCTTGGTTCTTGCTCCTGACAGCTATTCAGTAAATGACTGAATAAATAGGCTTTGGGGTGAGGGGAAGGCAAAAGGAACCTAAAATCCTTGTGTCCCTTTCCTCTCTTTTCAGCTCCCTCTGATCTTTTCAGTCATTGAGTGTTTCTCCTACAGTGAATTCATTCAGCTCTGTAAGGCCCATGCTCCACTCCAGCCAACCCCAACTTTCCACCAAGAAACAGTGACCTTGGAGGATTGCACTATCCTTTATTTCTAGGATACAAGGAGGTGTCCAGAATCACATCCTGGTCCCACTTATCAAGGCCCCCAGCCCCTCACAGAGTATGAATAAGCATGTTCAGGGAGGCTTACTGGGCAGGTGGCCCAGATCCCTTTCAAGGGGATACACCATAAAGATGGTATTGTCCCAGGGAGGAAGCGCAGGGTGACCCGGTCTGACCAGCTCAAAGCCCATGTAGCTGAAGGCCCGAAGCAGGGCACCTGTGACAGGAGAGAACAAATTAGAAAACTCAAACTCAATCAATACCACTGTTCCCCCAGATTTCTGGGTGGGTGTTTTTTTCAACTAAGGATTATATGTGGGGAGAGCGTATAGTGCAGGTATTAGAATGATGTGCTTTGGACTCAAACGGACTTAAGACTGAAACCCTGGCTTTAACATTTACTTTGTGACATTTTACAAATTAACGCTTCTGAACTTTTTCTCGTTTGCAAAGTGAGGACTACAGAACTTTCTTCACAGGATTTAAGATTAAATAAGATGGTCCTGGCCTGTGTGGCTCAGTGCTGTCCTGTGTACTGAAAGGTCACAGGTTCAGTTTCCAATCAGGGGAATATCCTGGTTGTAGGCTTGATCCCCCGTTGATGTTTCTCCTCTCTCCCTCTTCCTTCTCTCTCTCTAAACTCAATAAAATAAACAGTAAATTCCCATGGGGGAAAAAGAAAGATTAAACAAGATGTTTATGAAGTGCCTAACACAATTATGGTATTGTAAACCCTTGCCCATCCTTTGTCTCAACTACAAGAGTATAAAGTCCTTGAGGGAAGAGGTGGTAGTTTCTGTAACATGTGCTCCAAGCATCTGGTTATATTCCTATCCTGGCCTTATGCCCGACCTTTCATACTGTTGGTGCTTAATACATTTAATATCCTTTCTGTCCTACCAGCCACATCCCTTGAATGGATTCTGACTAGTTTCATCAGTGGTCCTTTAGTCTGGCTTCTGAGATCTATCTGCAGGGACTTCCTAATAGACCTATAACTTGAACAGAATGCTAGATACTTTCATTTCCTTGGCGGGGCGGGGGGAGGGGGGGGCTGAAATGCTAGAGCATTCCCTTTTTAAAGAGTTGGGGAGAGAGGGTCTCTTAAAAAAGGAAAAGTCACTGTTAGCTGCTTCAGCACCAAGGGCCAAGGACAGAGCAGATCTCCACCTCTGTCATTCCGGTCGTTTTGGAAGTTTACGAACACGGAATCCACATTGGTCTTCTCCTCCACATACTCCAGTGTTGCAGTCAAACTAGGAGCCAGGGAGAAACATGGTTAATGGAAATGTTTAGCAAACTCGGAACCCAAAAGAAATCTCATTGGTCAGTTTTTGCTAACCCAAGCCAAGAAATGAAAGTTGCTAAACTAGTTTTATAGCTTTTTCTCCTAAGCCAAGGGATTGTACACTATGATACTGAATCCATGCCATGGGTGGCGTCTTGGGCAAAGCAACTATAAAGTCAACAGCTGGAAAGCACATCCTGTTCAACTGTTTATGGATTCTCACTTCTGTGTTTCTCACTTTGAGCCAGCAACCTCCCATGGGTTGTTATCCCTTGAACTCCAGATCCAGGCTGGTCACAGGCCATCTGCATGCCAGGTTCATTGGTTTGAAAGTATTCAGCTCCTGAATCAGCCCTCACTGGCTAATATACCCAGTACTTGATGATGACATGATAAAATGAAACCCCAGCTCCCCTCCTTCCCCCCTCGCTATCATCCAGGCTCAGTCACCTTTTCTGGTTGCCTTGATCCAAGGCCCGATATGGGATATCCAGGAAAAGCTGACGGTCACAGAGAAGGCCATGCCAATGGACAGAGGTCTGGGGGGTGAGGCGGAAATGGAAATCTAACTGCAGTGGGTCCTGGTGGAGCAGGGCATCAGTAGCCAGCACTGTCAGATTCCCCTCCTAGAAAAGGAATACAAATGAGATGAATAGTCCCCTGCTTTTGTGTGCTTCTAGTCCTCACATATCAGGTCTCGGGCTGATTTGGGTGTCTGAGGAAGCAAGGAAGGGCTAAGGGAGAGCCTGGGAGAGTTGGAGCAAAGGTCGTATTTGACAATATAGATCTTAGATCTAGGATCTAAATCCATCCCTGTCATGGAGTTCTTGATAGCAAACATCTGATTGCAGGATTGCTGCCTGCTCCCCTCACCTCAGGATGCACTATTCCTTTAGAAACTGGCATTCACATCAGAGAGCTTAATATATATATAAAATTTTCATTGATTTCAGAGAGGGAGAGAGAGAAATATCAATGATGAGAGAAATCACTAATCGGCTGCCTCCTGCACGTTCCCTACTGGGAATCGAGTCTGCAACCCAAATGTGCCCTGGCTGGAACAGAACTGTGACCATGCTGGTCAGTGCTCAACCACTGAGATACACCAGCAACAAAGCTGTCTCATCTGTTTACTGTCTTACTGATAATACTCTTCCACTTTTTCCCATCATATAGGTTTTCTGTAATTTCTCCCATTTCTCATTTAAAATGCAAACGTCACACACAAGCATGTTATTTCAAAATGATATAAGGGCAAGTGCAGGAGTTCTGGGTTCCAGTCCAAGTAAGCATCTGAACAGCCTTATGTCCTGTAAATCTCAATACATTCTGCTCTTGGTTCCCACCTACTTTTTTCCCATCCTGCTTTTCACTACCACCTTAAGATCTCTAGGCAGAATCATCTATTAATATAAAGCAAGCAGATTTTACACATGAGCTTTGAGATCTCATCTAGCTCTTTCTTTTTTTTTTTTTAATATATTTTATTGATTTTGTACAGAGAGGAAGGGAGAGATAGAGAGTTAGAAACATCGATGAGAGAGAGTCATCGATCAGCTGCCTCTTGCACACCCCCTACTGGGGATATGCCCGCAACCAAGGTACATCCCCTTGACCAGAATCGAACCCGGGACCCTTCAGTCCCCAAGCCGACGCTCTATCCATTGAGCCAAACCGGTCTCGGCTCATCTAGCTCTTTCTAATGTTTCTTCTCCACAAGGTATCGTTCCAGTAGGCACGGGGCTGCCTGACACCAGCTCACACTCCGCTTACCGAGTAGAGTTCCTTCAGCTGATCTTGGTCACTCTGCTTGGTGCTTCTGCCCATCTGGAGGCCTACTGGGGAATCAGGAACACTGAAGGCAGGAACGGGGCCGGAGTGTCAAGTCCTCCTGTTCCTTATAAGTGATGCTGGTTGGGAAAAAGAGACCCAAATTAGTTTACCTCTTGGTCTGAGGTGGAGAGAGGGTCCTAACTTCTAGGGACACAGGACCAGGCTCTGGCACTGTCTTCTGTATCTTCCCTAGACGGGCCTATTTTCATTTTCTCAGGTCGGCCCAGCTGGAAAAGTTCTAAAGTCCCACGGCAGCCTTCCACCCTATTTTGCTGTTATCATTCTTGCTACTTGAGAAGTTCTTCCAAATTATTTTGTATTTCCCTTACCATTTATATAAACTATTACAAAGTAGAGATGAAAACAAGTACCTTCTAGACGAAGGCAGCATCTTCTCCCGGAGGGTGATCCGGTATTTGTAACAGTAGAAGTAAAAGGCGTATGGTGACCAGATTGGGTAGTAGTAGTTCCGTGTTTTTCCCCTCTTGATATAAGAAAGGGAGTAAATGGAGGGGCGCCACCTGTTACAAGGCAGTTTCTCAGTTCAGTGCCTCCCTGTGGCAAAGTGAGGTTCAGAGGTGGGTGACAAAGATTTAGGCAAACTGGCACCATTGTGACCTGATGGGCACTATGACATGCACAAGGAGTCAGCCCTTATGTCACTTCAGGGCTCTCCCTGCTGCTCCCCTGCCCCACCCTCTCCCTTTAGCCAAGTGTGCAACTTCACAACCTGTCCCCGGCCCCAACACACATACCACTTCCCCTAAAAGTCAGCAACTGAGGCTTAGTGTCTGACACTGGAAGAAGCTCCCAAGATCCTTATCCAGGGTCTGACCTGATTGGTTGGTTCCTATCAATTCAATGTTTTCATTATTATCCCTGCCTTTAACAAAGCTGGTTCGACACATTTTTGAACTTTCTAATTGCCTTGTAGGAATTGCAAACTAAAGAGGAGAGAGGAGAGAGGAGAGGAGAGGAGCTCTGGACAGCTAGGGAATTAGTGGAGCTCCTGGGTGAGGCTGTAGCAAAACGGAGAGCTCACCCCCTGTCTCTCGGAAGCCAACACAACTCCGCTCTGCCCCGCAGTTGCCATGCAGAAATGCAGATTCTGTGGTACCAGACTGTATGGTTTTTCAACAGAAACTGGACATCTTTTTGTGGTAAATTGAAATTTTTTTTTTTTTAAATACTACCAACTCAAGACGTGTTGTTTTAAAGCAACATTGTGAGTAAAATTAAGTTCTGGAGCCATCAGTTTGAGACCTCATCTATTCAACAAATATTTATTGAGGGCCTTCTGTGAGCCAGGCACTATTTCAGGTGCCTGGGATTTATCAGTAAATAAAGATCCCTGACCCATGGAACATATCTTCTCACACTGAGAGAACAAACCTAGGTAATAAGCATAAGAAAGCCCTTTAATATGTTAGAAGAGAATATGCAATGAAGAAAAAATAGAGCAGGATAAAGAAGGTCAGGCGTGTGAAGGGGTGGGACAGGTTGCGGTAATAAATAGGGTGATCCACGTGGGCCTCCTGGGAAAGATGACAAAGATGTGAAGGCGGTGGAGGGAGTTAGCCAAGCCAACACTGGAGGTAAGAGCATGCCATGCCTACACAACAGCAGTGCAAAAAACCCTATTTTCAAGAAATAGCAAGGAGGCTACTGTGAGGAGAACAGTGCAAGCTGTAGGGGGAATAGAGGGAGATGAGGTCATAGAGCTATCAGACCATCACCTGGACTTTTCCACTTGAGTAAAGGGGGAAGTAATTTCAAAGTTTTGGCTGGAAGAGTGACATGGTCTTACGTTCTCAGAAGATTGTGGCTCATGTAAAGTGTAGAGCGCTAAAGGGAGATTTGTCAGGAGGCCAATGCAGTTATTCAGGAGGGTGGTGTCTTAATTCCAGGGTGAAGCATTGGAGGAGGTGGGAAGTGGTCGGATTTTGTAACTGGAACCCACAGGATTTCCTGGAGTATGAGAGAAAGAAGCTGGGTCCCAGAACTGGAAGAAGGGAGTTTCCATCAACTGAGATGGGAAGGCTCCAGGTGAGAGTTTGGGGCAGGAGGCTAGAGATTGGTTTAGTTTGGAGCATGTTAGCTTTGAATAGCCCATTAGACATATAAAGGGGAGAGGATAAATAAGCAGTTGGATATTGAAGGCTAGAGCTTAGAAGTCTAGGATGGAGATAGGAGTTTGGAAGTCACTGTAAGCCATGAGACTGAATGAGATCGTCAGGAGTGTATATTGAGAAGAGTATCCAAAGACAGGGGCACTCTAAGAAGGGAGAAAGAAATCGGCAAAGGAGACTGAGGAAAACTGGGAAGCAGGAAGGAAAGAAGCAGAGAGCATCTTTCCATAATCTCCTCTGCCAAACCCCATTCATTGCATTTACCAGTCCTGGGGCCCTGCATAGGACCGTCTGGGCCTTGTCATAGTTTAGTTTTTCTCGGGCGTAGCTCCCTTATGATTGAGAATGCTTTAAATATTAGCTTACATAGTGCCGTTGTAAAGATTGCAAGTTATACAATTCCTGGGCTGGCATAGTTTCCCAGACAAATCCATCCTTTCTCCACCTTTAGGTGGCTGTCAAGTAAGGGAAAGTGAGAGCAGCGGAACCTTCAGGCCGGCAGGTTGGCAGTGACTTCAGAGAGCCACGCGGAAACCCGGGGGGAGAGTGTCCTTTCCTGTCTGGCAGCGCAGTGGGCCTCCCGCCCCCGGAAAGAGGCAGGGAGGCGGGAGGGGCAGGCGCCGAGTCGTGGATCGTCGGCTCGGTTCTCTGCTCTCGCGGCTGCAGCAGGAAGCAGAGACCCTCCCCGCGCCGCGCCGCGCCTGCCCGCCGGCCCCGCCGGGAGCGATCCCGCCGCCTCAGGCGCGCCGCGGGCACCCGCGGGGGCCTTCCTCGCGCAGGCGCGGCCGCCTCCCGGCCCCCTCCGCGCCGGGAACATGGCGCTCCCCGGCCGGGCTCTGCTGCGCGTGGCCGCCGAGCAGCTGCTGCGAGGACGAGTCGGGGCGCTGCTCCGGCCGCAGCTGGAAGGGTGCGCCCCCGGCCCGCAGCGCGGCTTCAGCCTCTCTCACAGCCGGGTGAGCGCCGGGTCTGGGTTCCGGGGTCCTTGACTTTGGCGGGGCCGTTGCGCCGCGGCGGGCTCCCCTGGAGGGGCGGACGGAGCGGGGACGGAGGGCCCCTCCGTGGACGCGCGCTCACCCGCTCTCCGGCCGCCAGGGCACGGTCATCGTGGAGCGCTGGTGGAAGGTGCCGCTGGCCGGGGAGGGTCGGAAGCCGCGCCTGCACCGGCGGCACCGCGTCTACCGGCTGGTGGAGGACACGAAGCACCGGCCCAAGGAGAACCTGGAGCTCATCCTCACGCAGTCGGTGGAGGGTAAGGCGAGGGCACAGGTGCCGCTAACGGGCCGGGCCAGTTTGGCATCAACGTTTTCCTGCCCTTTCCTACTTTGGGGGAAAAGAGCAACTCTCTGATTGAGAAGAGAAAGGCATAAAAAAATGCTGTGATTGAGATGTGGGCCTCCGGTGTGGAAAGTAGAACAGGAACGCAGGAGCATTAGTAAGTGTGGGGCGGGGGGCTAGAGGCGGAGGGGCCTGTGAGCAGCAGATACTGAATTCCTGTGATTGGGCAACGCTTCACTTTGTATGGAGAATATCAGGCTTCTAAATAGACCCTAACTAATTAGAAGCCTTGTAAACGTTCCTGGTGAATGTTAACATTCTTCCAGGAAGAATAAGAACAGAGAATAAGGCGCTTTTTTCTTTGGTCACCCCCTTCCCTTTAGGGACCCCTAGCTGGTTCTGACCCAGGGTCTGTTCGCTTTGGCAGAGCTTGGCGTTCGGGGTGACTTGGTCTCAGTGAAGAAGTCTGTGGGCCGGAACAAGCTTCTTCCCCAAGGACTGGCAGTATATGCATCCCCCGAAAACAGGAAGTTGTTTGAAGAGGAGAAATTGGTGAGCTCGAAGAAAGGCAGAGCGGGGGCTAAAACCTTAAGATTTCCTCTAGCAACTTCTGTCCCTTTTATATTTAATTTGAAAATGAAATAGTGACTGGACCAGAAATCCAGCCTATGCCTCTCATAGTAAGAGTTTGTTATTATTTACTATGGACTCACTTTTTTTTTTTTTTTTTTTTTTTTCCATCTTCATCTTTCTAGCTAAGAAAAGAAGGAAAGTTAGAAAAGATCCAGACCAAGGCCGGTGAGGCGGTGAGTAGAAACACAGAAAGTCTTTATTTGTTGATTATCTGCAGGAGTCACCAACCTCTTCTTAAGTGGTTTCTTGATTTCCCTGAACTCTCTTGCTTGCAGACACCAGGCAGGGAAAGGGGGAAGTGTTGTGGCTGCCGTAACTGGTGTGGAGACCTGGGAAACCGTGGCCTTTTTATGAAGTGCCCTAGCTTACTGAGTGAGGGCCCAGCGTGGAATGGTGTGAGATGTAAGCTCTGCTCGGTGATATTTTCAGACAAGTTGGAGGGAACATAAACACGTGCAAAAGTAATCAATAAATTTAAGACAGTAAATTATAAGCGTGACAGGGACCAAAATGGACTCAGGTGATTAGAGAGGGCTTTTGTCCAGATGGATTGAATTTGGCCTTGTGGGATTAATAGGATTTGAATAGGCCAGAAGGGTATTCTTTCTTTTTTTTTTTTTTTTAATCTTTATTGTTGAGAGTATTGCAGATGTCCCCATTGCCCCCTCCACCTGATTTCCACCCACCCCAGGCCTTCACCCTGTCTATGTCCATAGGTAAGATCTTTGGTTAATCTCTTCCAGCACCCCTTCCCCCTTTCCCTCTGAGATTCGTCAGTCTGTCCCATGCTTCCCTGCCTCTGACACTATTTTATTCACCAGTTTATTTTGTTCATTAGGTTTCTTCATTTATTTTTATTTTTAGATTCAATTGTTGGTAAGTATTTGTTGCCATTTTATTGTTAGTATTTTTTAATCTCTTTTTAAAGACTGTCCTTTATTTCAGTTAGTGTATGCTTAATTTCTGACTGGTCCTTTTTCATGTCTTTGACATTCTCACTAAGATCCTTGAAAGTGTCATGAAGATCTTTGAGTAACCTTATAACCATGGTTTTGAACTCTGTATCCAGTAGTTTGCTTGCTTTCATTTGTGACGTTTCTTTGTCTCCACATCTTGACTGCTTCCCGGTGTTTCTGTGTAGATAGTTCTGTTATGTCTCCTGGAATTGGTAGAGTGGCCTTGTGTGGTAGGTGTCCTGGAAGGCCCAGGGTTTCAGCCTCTCCACTCCCCTGAGCTGGGCAGTAAGTGCACCCCTGCGTGGGCTGTGTGCACAGTCATGTAGTTGAGCCTTGATTGTTGGTGAGGCGATGAGAGAAACACAGAAAGTCTTTGTTGATCATCTACAGCAGTGTTTCCCAAACTTCTCTCATGATGAGCACTAAGTTAAGTATTCAATTTTACCTATATGTTCCCAAAAATTCTAGTTTAGCACTTCTTAGTTGGGATTCAGGAATCTGTATTTTAACAACCCCACCAGGTGATTCTCATGAGAGAAGTTTAGGAAACACTGATCTACAGGAGTCGCTAACCTCTGAGTGGTTTCTTGATTTCCATGAACTCTCTTGATTGCAGACACCAGGTGGGGAAAGGGGGAATTGACCTCCAGGCCAATTGGCTGTGAGGAGCAGCTGTGACTACAGTGGGAGAGCTGCTACGCAGGAAACACTCCTGTGGAGCAGGACTTGCTCAGTGGTGCTTTGGTGCTGAGTGTGCCGTTGTGGGTGTATAGAGTTGTGATCGGCTGTGGTCTAAAGCTGTCCACCTGGTGCACTAGCTCTAGGACCTGCAAGGAGGTGCAAAGTCAGCCTCCCATAGCCAGGAAGGGCGGGAGCTGCAGACAGCTGCCATTTGCTGTTTTAATGGGCTTGGAGGTGCCCAGGCGAGGCCTGGCTGTGAAGCAAGGTAGGCTGGTCCTAGTGCCAGATCGTGGGTCTTTTATGGACAGGTTTGGGGCACTCTGTCACCAGCTGAGGCTTGTTGGATTTTAGCGAAGTCTGAAGCCTGAGCCAGGTCAGGCCTGTTCATATTGAAAAGCTGCTGCAAAGAGCTTGAGTGGGGCTGCAAATTGGATGGGGCAGGGTCTCAGGGAATCCTCAGGGTGGGGCAAACAGTGTTCCAGGCTCACGGAGACTCAGCTATGACTGCCTGTCAGCCCTCGGACAGGGCGGGTCCCTGCACAGGAACGATGATCCCTGTGAGTACTCTTGTCTGGCAGAAAGCTCTGCCCCCGCTCCACTCCCGAGTTCCTGCCCTGATGCCAGGCAATTCAATTCCTCCACCCATGTGTCTGGGTTCCCCGGCCTGAAGCTCAGTAGTGGGACCGTGTAAGCTTGTGTGCAGGTCCTTTAAGGGGAGCACCTGGGTCTCCAGCAGCTTGTCACTCAGCCACAGTCCCTGCTTCCCAACTCTGGAACCCCAAGTTGGGGGTCTGATGTGGCTCCTCACAGGCTGCCTCCATAGAGACAGTCTCTCCCTCCTCCCCTCCCCCCGCCCCCATTGAAAAAAAGTGCAGGTGGGTGTTGGACGAGCCCATCCTGCACCTCCACCCCTGCTACCAATGTGCTTTCTTCTTTCTCTAGTTGTAGGATTTCCATTCAGCAAGCTTTACAGTGGTTCTGCATGATGTTTGTATTTAAGTTACAATTTTGATGTAGTTGTGAGAGACTGCAAGTACTGGAGTTACATATGCCACCATCTTTGTTCTTTTTCATCTTTATTATGGAAAGTATTAGAGATATTCCCCCTTCTCCCCTGCCCCCCTTGACCACCTTCACTCCACACCCACTCCTCCCAGGCCTTTAACACACTATTGCCTGTGTCTGTACGCTCTGTGTATGTGCATATAAGTTCCCCAGTTCATCTCTCCCACCCCCACCTTCCCTCTGGAATTCGTCAGTCTCCCATGCTTCTGTGTGTCTGGATCTGTTTTGTTCATCAGTTTATTTTGTTCATTAGGATCCACATATGAGTTGAGATCATGTGATATTTCTGACTGGCTTATTTCACTTCAGGAGGGTGTATTCTAAAGGGAAAAAACAGAAGATAGTTAAAGCAGCTTTAGCATAGAAAGTAGACTGGTTTAGCTAAAGCAGAGGACTTGTGTATTTGGAAACATAAGGCTGGAAAGGGGGTTGAGACAGGATTTTCAAAACATCTTGAATCCTCCGCTAGTGAATTTATATTTCATTCTGTAAGCAAGAAGGAATCATTAATGGGACAGGGGTGGGAATGAAGGGCCAGAAGCATTGGATAATACAGCCTATGAAAGTCATCTCATCCTGAGATATACAAGTGGCTCCCTTTTTTTTTTTTAAATCCTCACCTGAGTATATATTGTTTGTTTTAGGAAGGGAGAGAGAGAGAATCATTAATCAGTTGCCTCGTATACATTCCCTGACTGGCCAGGGATCCAACTCTCAGCCTAGTTATGTGTGCCCTGACCAGAAACTGAATCCACAACTTTTTGGTTTATGGGACATGGTCCGACCAACCGAGCCGGTCAGTGGCCCCAGTTGACAAAACCTGGCCACTTGATTAGGGACAACCAGATAAAGAGTACATTCTCCTCCAAAGTGTCACAAACTTACCACAGTATCAGCCTCGGGACAAGAATGTCCTTTCCATTTATCTCACCTGCCTTGGCTGACTGTGAGGCAGAAATTGTGCCCTTTTCCTGAGCTCTCAGACCTTGTGCCTCTTGCTAACGTTTCTAACTCTAATGTAGCCTCTGTTTATACTTCCTCTCAGACGGTGAAATTTCTGAAAAGCTGTCACCTGGAAGTGGGGATGAAGAACAATGTCAAATGGGAGCTAAACCCGGAAATAGTTGCCCGCCATTTTCTAAAAAACGTGAGTGTTCCCAAACAGTACTATTCCCTAAGAGTGGACCTACCTATGGGAAGAAAGCCTGGGATTGAGCTTTTTGTTAGAAACAGGTGTGAGTCCAGCTAGAGTTAGGGCAGTGGTCGGCAAACTGCGGCTCTTTGGCCACTTGAGTGTGGCTCTTCCACAAAATACCATGGCCTGGGCGAGTCTATTTTGAAGAAGTGGCATTAAAAGAAATTGACATTTAAAAAATTTGGCTCTCACTAAAACCGGTTTGGCTCAGTGGATAGAGCGTAGATCTGTGGACTGAAGGGTCCCAGTTCAATTCCGGTCAAGGGCATGTACTTTGGTTGCAGGCACATCCCCATTG